GGACATAAAAAATAGTAATAGAATTGATGAGTTTAAACATAAATATAAAGGTATGTGTCAATCAAGATATATGCAAGAACAGGCTTAATGATTAATTAGATGGAACATTGTGGGTGTAGGGTAAGAATGTTAACACTCTGTAATAATTCTGTAGTATATTACTTGTGTGGTGTAGAGGATAATTATTTATGTAGAGATATTGCTTAGGACTTAAAAGTTGTAAGATGATGTCATGGGGTAGGACTGGATAAGTCTAACTTCTTCCTACTCCGTTCAAGCATGTACTAGGTATAAGTAAATTGATATTGGATTAGCATTTGTTGGATATGTGTGAAATTACATGTGTTGACATAACTGTTTTACATTCTTGAATGAATAAATCAAATCAATCTGATTCTGTATTTGGTCAAGGTAAAGGTTAGTCTGCCAGGTTTTAGATACCTTTTCTCAATGCTCAAAATAGACTAAAATGTTTTGGCAAGGAAACAGTACCTGCTGGTATTTTGTTTGACATGTCACAGTAGGAAAAGCACAGGTAAAATAACATTTATGATGACAGAATTACATTTAGCAACTTCAGAATTAAGGTCCTGGTACAGTGTGTCGCTGTCATGGCTTGACAAACTTTAAGAGCAAAGCCATTGTTAATGCAACACCTGTGCTTTCCCCTCTATGAAAGGTCTGTTTTCCCCATGTTGACTGCTGAATGTTTAACCCTACATTGTGCAAATATAACTATTAAGCACATTTTGGGGTTCTTAATTAGTACTTTATTAAAACATAGCCGTACTGTAAAAGTTTGATTTGATTTGATTTATTCTTTCAAGCATGTAAAACAGTTGATATGACAACACACATAATTTTACACATAATCCAATATCAATTTGCTTATACCTAGTACATGCTTGAATGGAGTAGGAAGAAGTCAGACTTATCCAGTCCTACCCCATGACATCATCTTACCATCATTGGTTTGCAAGCAGTAAATAATTCACTTCTACCTAACTTGTCATATTAGAGATGACAGTGTGCATTTGTTAGAAGAATAATCATTTGCTCCTTACAGGCCTTTCTAAGTCATTCCTACTAACTAAAAGTAAACTTGCTTCTAAATTCACTTTAACTGTCATAACAAACTTTGAATTGACGGTTGTGTAGTTGACCTTTTTTAGACATGACCATATCTGCTACTTCCTTTTCACCTCTGTCTCTTTTGATCAGACAAGACATGCAGGAAGTGAAAGCAGAACTGAAGGAGGAGAGAAACAAGCGCATAGCACTGCAGGTAAGTGAAGTGTGTCTCGAGTTTTGCATGCATTCATACTTGGTGCCAGCTGCATACTGCCATATGAAAGAATATGGCGGTATGCATATACTTGTTGTGGTTGCCGATATTATGACTTTGGTAAAGCTGATGCTAAACATCTTTCACATACAGGAGGAAGTAAACGCTTTGAGGACAAAGCATTAACCCCCAACGCACCCTGTGAGTGGGCTGGCTGTCTGACACCGTGCCACGCAGGCCCTCAAATTGCAAATTTAAACAAGCTGGACATTTTTCTAACATGAAGTGGGGATGGAGAGGATAAGCATGCTCTCCCAGTGCAGACACACAAGCAAGGGCTACCTTAAAGTAACGGTGAACACAGGACTGAGCTAATCCTGCTCTGGACTGGAGAAACCTGATCCTCCAAAAGACTTTTCAATGATGTACATTAAATTTTCCATATTTTATTGCTGAAAAATCACAAAGATTGATCATAATTGGGTTATTCTTGATAGCAAATTCATGTTTTACATTGTTCTACTTAGACTTTCATAATTCCATTTGTCATACTAAGCATTTACATAATGCCTCAAACTATGTAACATATGCAGCTGTACATAGGAGAAAAGATTGTGATGTCTTTCGCAAGGAACAAAAAAATAATAAGTCATCCAAAGGAGTATTGTTATCAGAATGTTAATACTACTGTCAAAAACAGCTGAAATGCAAGTGCTTTTCTACACCAGGGTGTAATGTCGCATTCAACCACAGGAGGGCACTGTATGTCGACTCTTCTACATAAAGAGAAGTGCTAAACTTTTCACTAAGTGCTGGATTGGTGGAAGTGACCTGGCACCAGTAACACACTTGCATTACAAAACCAAAACCTTCCATTCAGAAGAGTAAACGTGTTGAAATTTAAGCTTTGCACAAAGTTTGGTATTAATGAATGCTGCCTTTTTTTAAGACAAACATGCCAAACAACAAAAAACAAAACAAAACAAAACAAAACACTGTTGAACCACTGCTGGAGCTAGCCTATATGCAGTTTGTGAGAAACTGCATATTTGCAGTTTAGTGGAAAAGGCATCCAATCACTCAGAGAAAAACTGACTCATTTTGAAAACTCTGAACATAGTGAGTCATTGCAGTGCATGCAGAGAATGTGGGAAGAGACTTAATGAGAAATTTTTTGCACCCAACACAGCGAAGGCTATTTAATGTAACCACGACATCTTCACAATAAGGTATACTGATTTGGCTTTGGCTTGAAATGGTGGTGCTGGCAGCTGTGGTGGGGTGGTGTGTTCCTGCCCAAGCTTTACTAGCGTTGCCCAGTGTAGCACATCTGAACAACATCTGGAGCTCATCAGAGACTGAGTGCTTCTAAAACTGCCATGGGAACATGATATTTTTAAAAACTGTGTTGAATAATGATGTTTGAGGGCACATTCCCTCTTGGACAAAGGTGAAAAAATAAATGAGGGTAAACAAAGTGTAAAGAGGATAACGCAGAAAGTTCTGAATTTTTGAAAAATAAAAGTGAAGATTTTACTGTTTTAACAAAGTGGCCTCTGGAAGATTCAATAATCTCAGTGATGACAGGTGCTGCTTACACTACAGAACCTCCTGTGAATTATAATACATAGGTTATAAATATTTGACTCACTTGAAAGAAATACACCGAGCAGCCATAACATTATGACCACTGCCAACTAAAGTGAAGAACAGATTTTCTCATCACAATGGCACCTGACAGTGTGTGGGGTATACTGGGCAGCAAGTGAACATTCAGTCCTCGAAGCTGAGGAGTTGGAAGCAGGAAAAATGGGTGAGCAAAAGGATCTGAGTGACTTTGACAAGGGCCAAACTGTGATGGCTAGATGACTCCAGAGCATCTCCCACACTACAGGTCTTGTTGAGTGTTGCCAGTCTGCAGTGGTTAGTACCAAAAATCAGTCTAGGGAAGGACAAACCAGTGATAGGGTCATGGTCGTCCAAGGCTCACTGATGATGAGGCTGACCTACTATAGATTCAACTCTTAAATTTCATTCATTCTGTCCAAAAGATTTTGTTTGAATCTTTGTTAAAATGGTTGAAAATGAGAAGTACTGTACATTGGTCTCTATGAAAGGAACCATTCAGCAGCTATAGTGGTGATATCACACCTAGAGTGGGGAGGCTGTTGAATTGGTCTAAAAAATTCTCTAACTTGTCATCACAACTAGAATTTTTACTCCTTTCACACAAGTTTTCCACTGGATAGTCAACAGATTTGTACTCTTCCTGATAATGTAACTATGGAAGCACACAAATTCACAGTAAGCTGCAGAGTGACACAAGCAACCGACTGCTGCACTGATCCCTGTGTACACAGTATTAGGCAGGCAGTCGTAATGTTATGGCTGATCAGTGTATCTATGTAGGTCTCACAGAAAAAACAGGACAGTCCAACGTAGCACAGGAGAAATTTAAGACATGCAAGAGGGAACACTGGGAGTACTGAAAACAAATATTTTATAGCTCAGACGTCAGATACAAGTTAAAATTAGCAATAGTGAAAGAGGAGCTGAACTGACAAAGAACGGTTTGCCTCTGTCACATATACTGTATGAGCTGGACAGATGCAGAAACAATCATATGCATTGACCTAATAGAAAATGGTAACAAATCTGCCATATATTAAAAAAGCCTTTTTAATGTGAAGCCTTTTACTGAGTGGAATAACAAGGCAGTGGTTAAATAGTGCTATACATGTTATTGTCCATAAAGGAGGATTTTCTGGAATCAAAGAGCCACATGATAAGTCTTCCATGGTCTGTTATGTTCTCCTTTGTGAAGATCTTTCCCACGCTGTGTTGTGGTTTGGATTCATGGCTTTCCCTAACTCGATTTTTCCTCATGTTGATGTATTGTTTCATAACTACATAATTACCATAAAGCTAAACCTGGTTGCTTCTAATTACATTTTGAATACATCTGACAAAATGAAAAGCATACTATTGAAAATATTGAATCCTAGGTCTAGTAAAACATGTTTTGTGTCTTGTGATTTGGAGGTAGAGGCCATTCAAAAGTGGTTTAAACAACTACACAGCTACTTCAAAGCCTCTACGTCATCAATGACACAGATTTCTGAAAGGCTTTGACCAGATGAGAGGCTTTTCCAAGACCTCAACAGAGAAGACTTCAGTGTGGGCTCAATCTGAAAACAGAGCAGGCTCCAAGGCAAACCTGAACCCCGTCTGCTCCTGCAGCACAGTACGTTGTTTGAGGACAACTCTAGCAGAAGCTCTTGGCCTGCCTCCACCTACAACCAAGACGTTCCTTCATGCAACACTACATCAGCCTGAAAAGCACGGGACTCAACTTTCTGGCTCTAGGTTGGCCAACACAAAGAATATAGACACATACCATTAACTGATGAGTATTTAGTGTACTTTCCCGTTTAAACTGCTTTATTGACATGCCAGTAATTCATGTATTCATAACTAGTAAATCACCAAACCGCTCAAGATGGACTTGTGATAATGTCTAGTCCAAACATTTGCCCAATTCATCAGTGTTCTTAACTTTACTGGCAGTCAAACTATATTCCAAGTCCACCAACTCACATGGAACAGTTCATTATGTAAATACAGAGTTGATACTGGCCATCAAAGCCATGACCTCATCACTCCCAGCAAGCATGCACCACGATCAGAACAGTGGAGAGACGATAATACACTCCCCTGTCAGAATATGGATAGAGAGAAGCGACATAACAGAAGCAGCAGCAGCAGTACACATGTAGAAAAGCAGCAAAGCAAGTGATCACTACATTGGCTGACTGAAGTATTTAAATATTTTAATAACTAAGCTAAATATAATATGTCTGATGAAAATGTCTACCAGTCCTGTGAGTGACAAAAGCACAGCTGATTTTACCACGGAAGCAGGACAGTGTTAACTATATTACTAAGCTGTGGTCACAGTCATGTTCACATCCCCGAAGCCACGTACAAGAGACTCAAGTCTGCAATGAGCCAATGGGAAGGCAACAACATAGAAGAACACGTGCCGCAAAACTAAAACAGACCACAACATGACATGTCTGACAACTTCATAAAATCAAAAACAGAAAAGCATCATAAGGTGCATGTCAAACATTTCAGAGGTCAGATGCAAGTTAAAATTTGAAAAAGCAGCGGCACAGGTGCAGATATTAGCTGCCAGTGAAAAACAGAAACACAACAGCATGTAGCACATTTAGCCAGCAGATAAATAACAGCATATGAGCAGATACAGGCAGCCAGCAGACTCAAGGACAACAAATAGCAGGGTCAACAGCAACACAAACAATAGTTTATAGCCATGTCAGTGACTATATGTTAAATGCTATCAGCAATCTAACATTCTCACAAAGCCAGTGATAATTTACTGTAGCACTAAACACAAGGTACAACTGATGCTGAAGGGAATGGCTTTAGTTTTAATTTTATCCAATGCTACCAGCATTATTACATAGGATTACTGCAATTCAAACTTTGTGGAACAAAAAATGTCTGTACTAAGGATATTTCACTTATATAAACCCGCTAGTGTGTGTTAATCTAGGGGTCCAACAATGGCATCATCTGGGAACAATCTGTACCAAATTTCATTCAAATATTTGTCAAGACATTTCAATAAAAACTAAATGTCAACGTTGGGACTAGAGGGAAAAGGCTCAGGCCTAATGACGTCACATAAATGTCTGTACTGTTTACCTAGTAAGGCTTAAAAACATTAACCAAGCACATAAACAACAGCTTTACAGAGTCAAACATCCTTCACAACACACGTTAAACAGCCACAGCAGCACTTACAGTAGCTTGGCGTCTAGTTGTTAACAGCAAATGAGGATAACTTCCGACTTGGCATGAGGTTTGAGAACAGCTGATGTTAGCAAGTTCAAAACAAGCTGCAGCCCCTACGAGGCCGAGCGACGCAAATACGATATGTTTTCATCTATAAAACACTCTTTACGTAACGTGGCCGAACATTTACTCCGCAGGTTTGCCAACAACATAGAACAGGAACAGTAGCAGAGGCAGCAAATGCCTACGCAGGTGTTAATAATTAACCTATGGACTGCACAAAGGGTTCGCTTGATAGGTGTTACAGCCAGTACCGGGACGTGAACTCACAGGAAGTCAAAAAAAGTTCATTAGAACTTTTACAAACCTAACGCCCCACTCCACCATAACCTTGAAAAACCTTTACTGTCACAAGAGGGCTGTTTCCCAGAAATTTTATTATAAAACTGCATATCTTTAAGTAAGTAAGGCACATGTGAGCAGAAATAACAAATGACAAAGGGTGACATTTTAATTATCAAAACAGCTTCCTCATATTTGTGTTATCTTGATTAAAAATCCATGGCCCAAAAGTACTGTATGTAGAGGAAGAGCTCTGCTGTCGTGATGGGAGTATTATGAAGAGAAACAGTTAATTATTTCAAGTTTAATTCTGTCATTTTCTTTGGTGGAATTATCCTTAAAAACATAAACATGGGTGTGATGTACTCATAAATTAAAGACTCACAATTAAAGAGTTTTAATTGCCTTTACATTACTCTATGTGTATTCTAACTCCCTGATATGTGTTTGCTCAGATGGATTAAATATCCTCACTGCAAACAAATCCTCTTCAACAAACAGTACATATCTTGTCCTTGATTATGCTTTCAGTTTCCATTTGTTACATACATAAACCTTGTTGTGTGCATTTTTGTCATTAAGCGCCATATATTTGATTAGTCTTCAAGTGTCCATCAGCACCCACATTCATACTGCATCTTTTGCACACGATAAATCAGCCTTGAGGACTTCTCTTGGCTTAATTTTATGTAGACAGTTGAAAGAAACATTGCTACATTAGAAGTGCAATATCACATACTTAGCTCTGTCAGAGCCAAGTAAGTCAAATGTGGCACATCACTGTTACTTTGTATCTAGCATAGGCTCTCAAGTTTTGGAGGCACCAGCGACACCGGGTCCATTCAAAGGGCATTGTCTCTCCTTCGCAGAGCTCAAATTGCTGCCCTTGCAGTCTCTTAGTAGTAATGCACTCGTCCAATAGTCCCCGTTCCTGTTCCAAGGATATCGGGCTGGCCGTTCCTCCAGATCTCCCGTATGATGCGTTCCCTCTCCTCCAGTCGCTGTGCCCGTTCCAGCTCTTCAGCTGAGGTAAATACGTTCACACTCAGCATGCCGTCTGGTTGGCTGGTATGATTACCAACAGGGATTTCTGTGCTGGGCACTGGGACAGGTGCCTCTACATTGTCCCCTCCTTCATCTTCATCATCTTCACTCTCCTCATCCTCCTCATTGATGTCTTTTAAATGTTTTTTCTCAGGTGTGGAGGGAGCGATATTGGTCCGTGGCTTGCAGGAAATGCGGATGACCAGGAGGCAGAGTGTCAGCACCAGGCCGAAACACACTCCAAGCACAAAGTAAAGGCCAAAGCTCTCTGGGTTTGCTAAGGAAGGAGCACAAGTGAACAACACCAGACAGAGTTGTTATTTAATTAAATACATTTTCCACATCATGATCACAGATATTGTGCTAGACTATAAAATGTGACTTACCTTTAATATGTGCATATGCAGCAATGCTGTTGCTCAGGAGGTCCATTTCTTTTTTCTTCACATCCATGATGATCTTGACTTTGATTTCTTCACCCTTGCAGAACAGCAAACATATGAGACATTTGACTTTGGCATATAAAACTAGACAGCCTACGAATGCTTTTCCGGGTGCTTTAAGCCTTTGAAATATGTCCCAAACACCCTTCCTTCACTGTTAGAACATGTGCTGTGCTTGGGTATTAAATCCACTGACAGCTGCATTTCTTCATATGCCTCCGAGTGGGTGGGATGAGGCCTCCAGCTGTCAAACAAAAGCTCATCTGTGTCCTGTTTAAGAAGTGGCTTCATCTGGGACCATCATGATGCATTTGGCACATGGAACACTGGCTTTGCCATTATCTCTGAACCATGACAGCCCTCTATAAATGAGGTCAAGAGTCAGTTGTCCACAGAGGAGTCCTTCCTGCCTGATGGGACCCCCACATCACTTTGTGAAGCTCAGAGGAAAATGCCAGTGTGTTGTTGACTTATCTATATTGTTGTCTTTGACGTTTAGGCTGTCTGTCCTCCTGGCATTCTGTCTGTCTGAGGAGCTCTACTGTGTGCAGTGGTGACTCCTGATACCCTCAGGCTATAAAGGGGGCATGCAAGAACAGTTCATGTTCATTCTCCTTTGCAGTCTGTTTTTCTTTTCCAGTAAATATCTGCATCCAGTTCTTCACATTACCTTCATGTTTCCTCCTTAGTCAGCTGCATTTGTCTTTAGGAGACACCAGTTTGTTTGTCATCTGAAAGAAAACATTTTTTTGCATATGTCTTCATGGAATACCAAACTGTATAGGGACTTGTTGTGCTGCTTGGGGTTCTGGATTTCCTCCATTAACTTTCCCCAGCTCTTCTTCTCCTCCACCCTGCTGACTCTGACTTTTCTCATCTATGTTGCCATGTTGTTAACAGTTTCCACCTCCCTGGCTTGATGACATCATGGTGTTGCACCATGACACACTTATAAGTGTTGATGGCAACAGTAGAGAGCCCATTTCAAAATAAAAGGAGGTGCCTTTAATCCTTCCAGTTAATGTTAGCTCCATTCCCCTCTAACATGTGCTTTTTGTTGTGGCTGGCTATGGAAAAACATACTGTTCATGTGAAATAACAATGAACAATAAAGCCTCTACTCTAACCCCTGTGCTCTGCTCTGTAAGTTGATCCTCAGGCCACTTTGCCTACACACAGCTCATTTGATGAACTTAAATTATACAAACCACATATTTACCTCCAAATTACACCCACTGATAGCCTTAGTGACTGATCTCTATCATGATGTCAGTACTTCAATGATTTATGTAGCACTTATGAATATTCTGGTGGTTGTATTTCCTGTGCAACCTGGGAGCAGCTCATTTGTTTACTACTTGATGAATGTTTGTTAGTTTCTTAATGTTCAACTTTTGTCTTTTTATAATTTTACCTCACCTTGGAGTTTATTCTGTGTTGTATTATTTTTTTCATCCATTGTAGTGTGTTGTGTGAGCTTCCCCTAGTGGGATTAATAAAGTTGTTTGTATTATATTGTGTTTGTTGATGCAGTTTCCAGTAAAATTCAAGTATAAAGTCACAGATCTATAAAACATCTGGTCCACTAATGAACATTAAAACAAAGATTCTCCTATAAAAGCAGAAGCAAACAGAAAGTGGAGCAAAGATATAAAACTTACCACAAAATGAAACTCTGGAGCACGTCTTCAGTCCCAGCTCATAGTGTAATGAGTAGTTGGAGAATGGATGCAAAATGATCACGCTCCTCTTTTACTCTCCCTTGCTATTGGATCAGGGCAGTGATCTTTGGTCCTCAGGCTAAACAGCTCATTTGGCCACCCTGAGACAAGAGCAAACACACAGACATGCACACACACACACCAAGCTACATTAGATCCAAATTCACTGAGGTGTCGGCATTGCAAAGAGTAACAGGCCTATTGCAGGATACAAAGTCCAGCAAAACAATAGTGGCAGGCTTTTTAGTTTTCAGTGGTTCAGCTGTGATGTCTTGACATGTACAGAGACTAGGTTGGATACCGCTGTATGAAAAAGTGAAGCAAACACTATTTTTATAGTTATAATTTGATTAACTTGATCACTTCAGGTCCAAAGACCTCCCTATCATAGTTAACCAGCTACAGGGCTGATGTTCTAAGCTAGTCCTGTATATGATTCGAGCACTCAAAACTGTGTCATGATTCAGATTGTAGATGAATATCTGGAGTGCTGAGGTTACAGGACTACCCACTGTTTTGATGGTCTAGCGATTTGCCATCACAACTAGACCCACTGCAGAGACCCAGCTACAGTAACACCAGCTAAACGTAACAAACACAGCAATGAGTGTTATCAAGTGTTAAAAGAACATTTAAAAAAAATACATATTTTGTAGCAGTCCATGCTAACATTAGCAAAGTTAGTTAGTTGTATCAATGTTCTTAGGCTATACATGGCTATGGGTACATCTCAAATCTCTTTTATGATCGTTTCTTGCTCTTCAGTCCTCACTCATCCCAGAAGTTGTTTCATGTGAGTGAGCATGGATACATGAGAGCATCCTTTGCATTAGTCTGTTATGGGCCAACACATCCCTTTGTCAGAAAACAGGAAAGGACACCTCACATCTTGAAAAACAGGTTTCCTCGATTCCTCTTTCCTCACATTTTTTCCTTGCACTTTTTCCTCACATCTTACAAGTGGGACAAAGACACAAGGAAAATACACAAGTGAAGGGAACATGGATGCCAGTGTTATAGCTGTCACTAAACCTCAGGTCCGAGTTGAGGCTCAAGTCCTGTGTTCAAGTCTGAGTCAAGTCTGAGTCATCAGAGAATAATCTGAGTCAAGTAACAGTTGAGATCAAGTCAAATCCTTGTTACCAGAGTCAGAGTCATCAAGGTCTACATTAAATCCAACTGACACAGCTGTCATTATTTTATATTCCAAACTTTCTAACAGTGTATTGCACCACCATATTTTCCAACAATTTGATACAGAAAAATCATTTATAGAAAGGCTGAGTGTGGATACAACATGGTATGGGTGAACAGGTTTTAATATCAGTATCTTAGCCCAAATTAGTATGGCCTTTTACAAAAAAAAAAAAAAAAAAAAAGTCAGAGTTGAAATGCAGTCAATGCTCCAGTCTGAGTCCAAGTCCCAGTCATCAGTGTTCAAGTCCAGATTGAGTAGCGAGTCCTGAAATTCTGGACTCAAGTTGGTCTTAAGTACTGCAACACTGGTGGATGCATATAAGATAATTGGTCATGCACACTGCAGACATTATCCTTGTACAGTTGACATAGAAGCTGCTCTGACATGTGCTCAGTTAGAAAATGCAAAAATATGCACAATAGCTGCAATATCTATGTAGTTGTTATGCTTTCACACAAAACATGAGAACTTACAAACAGACTTTTGAACAATGTTTGTTGCAGGATTGCAGAATAAGGGGTTAGAAACATTCCACTTTCCTCTACTCAGTAAAAGCCCTACAACCAGCTGGGGGTGCTTTACATGCCAGGTGGGGGATTGTGAAAAATGCTGCGCTGTGAAGTTTTCTAACTTGTAGTCCTGCTAAGGGTAAAGCTCCTCTCCCAGCTGCAGTTGGTTCAGCTGAGCCTCTGTGCTTTCCGGGGCAGATTGTGATCTTGCTGACTCGTAGCAGTTCCTATGTACACTACACAGCGCCTGACTGAGACAGGGGATGAGTGACAAAGTGGTCACTATAGCAACATGTTTTCCAGGCCACCCCCTCCATCCCCACGGGAACAAGACGATGGGCCTTTTGCTTCTGTTCTGAACAGCAGGGATAGACCTACACACTGTCTTCTTGTCAAGCCTCCTTCCTTTTCAATTATGAACAAGTGCAGGTTCTCTCTCCCACATGATTGGACACCTACAGTACAGTAACTGGCCTCCTCTCCAACTGGAATGCAGCAAACCTGAGCTTCATCAGGACATGACACCTGGAGACCTGTTTAAAGCCTATCTAAACACTAATTATCCTGCTATATTGTTTTGTTGTGTTTGTGTTTTACCCTGAAGAAGGAAATTATTAACAGACCTTCTCCCCCTCAGTGAGCCCATGACTCAACTTTCAGTCATTTTCTTTAAGTGACCCAATTAGCTTTTTTAAAGCAGATGTTATCCTTCCCAACAGCCTTGAAAATGAAACCTTCATCATAATAAAAGACTCATGCATCAGTGATTTACTACATCATTTTTGTTCCATCATGTTTTACTCAAACTTAAGTTGCATTGTAAACTGCCTGGTAAATATTATTACTGAAAATAATAACAGTACTCATATTTTGGTACTACACATAATAAAATATTGACACTCCCCATGAGTGTTTAATGGGACCGACCAAAGTCAAAACAATACTTTGGCCAGTTCTAGGGTATGCGCTTTGGCTTAAAAAAATCTAATAAACAAACAAAGTTTTGCACCTCTAACACTAAATTTCTGCAATATCTGGGGGAGTACTGACAGTTGGGAGCGTTTAAACCAGTTATTATACCATAAAGTGAAAATATCTCAAGAATCAGGACACCATATGGTGCTATTGTGGGGCAGGCCTGCATAGAAAATAATTCTGTGAAGTTGTGTTAGGACAGGTCATTTACAGCTTTTAATATAAGCTGTGTAATATAATGTGGCCTTGCATTATTTATTTTTCCACTGATCTGGCCAGCACTGCCTTTGTGCCACATCTGCGCTACTGCGGCATTCATGGTTAGTTCTATTTTTTGTCCCTGTTAGCTTATCATGTGCTCTTGCCTGATATAATATCCTTCCTGACTCCTTTGCATGCTAGTAAATAATCACTGTACCCATCCTGAAATGGCTGTAACTCAGTAGGAAACACGTTCATTTTAGCTCAGCTAATTTTTCCCAAAACTTGTCAGTCAGCAACAAGTTATTTATGCAAGATCACAGCAGAAAATGTGTTCTGACTGGAGCCACATGAGGTCAAACACTATTTCTGACTGAGCATTGATTTGGTTTGGATGGAACAACTGAGTGGAACAAAAACTCCAAACTATCATGTAGTGTGATATTTTTGCTGTCATCCTCTTGCACATAGTCACAATGGCCCTTCCTTCCCACAAGGTTTGTCCCTTTCCGGGTTACAGTATCCAGGTCAATGTCTTCCTTCAGCATCATTGTCATTGTCTAAGAGTTTAATATAGGTACAAAACAGAATGACTGAGCTGTCTACTGTACTGATGATTTATCAGCTGCTTCCTAACAGGAGTAGACCTCCAAAGCAAAGGTTTGTCGCAGAATAGAAGCACATTTCCCCAGATACTTCACCAAGTACTACTTGTTTCGTAAACCATCCAACCACAATAGTCCTTTTCCACAGTGAACAAATCAAAGTCATAACCCTCCAGTGGAAGTTATGCTGGGAGTCAAGCCACACTGGATTTATATACAGAAGATTACATAAGGGAGTGAGTTGGTGTTATTTACTCATTGTAATGACATGCCAAACCACAGAAGAAAAGAAATATTCTTAATACTTCAAATTCCTCTGTAGCCACAACAATTCCTGGCACAACAGATGGTGTTTCTGTGAGGTTGCCTGGGATGGAGCATCACAGGAAAATAGCCAGACACATTTAGACACATTTCACTGTTTTAAAATCAAGTCCACACATATGCTCTGATTAGTGAGGCAGCCAAAAGAATTTTAAGCATCTTACACTGTACTGCACCTTTGCTCTTTTTTTGTTCAGTAAATGTTGCTGCTTTGATCCTGTGGCTGCTACTGAAACAAAAATCTGTCTGGACTTAATGATGTAGAGTATCAAACACACCAATCTGGGTAATTCATTGACTATTTTCAGCTTGTGTAGCACATTCTGAAGCTCTGCATGGTGCCCTTAAATAAATATACTGAATCAGAGCTTGGTCTTGGCTCAGTTAATCGCTCACACATGAAGAAATTCGCTCAGTAGCTGATGAAAGGTTAACAGCTACCTACAAACTGCCAACGGGTCTGAAACTGTATCATAAGAATATCTGCTGGATGTCTCTACAAGCTATTTATCACACACCTGTAATCAAGCCAGAAAATGATCTCCAAGTCATTAAACATAATGGAAATTCAAGATCTCCGCAGTACAACAGGATCAGGCATTACTCCCCACTCGGTAAACAAAAACATTGTCCAAACCAAGATCTCTATTTACAGTGTCTGTGAAAACAGTTATGAAGGTTTACAGGATGAAGGTAGCATGATTTCTTCACCTCTAGGAAGGTTGCAGGGGGACATTATTGGAAAAAGTAAGAGTGCATTTCTTCCCAGTTTGCCTAGATGATGATATTGGGTTTCAAGCTGTGCGAATGGTCAGGGTCTGCCAGAGTGTCTGACTGGGAGGAAGGCTGCTGCATTTATGAACAGGAAAAACAATGTGGTTGCCATCAGGACAGAGACGTGGATCACCACGTGAGGTTGACTCCCAACAGACTATGTCACTGAGAATATGATGAGCTAAAATATTTTGAAACAACCCCATTTGGTTGAGATTCAAGGCCAGAATGAGGTCTAGTGGTGCCTTGTGCACCACATCAAAAAGGAAGTTAAAGTGGCTACAGTTAAAGGCACTTTCCTTTAAGTTTCACTTAAGACTATGACTTTAAATTATCCTGATGTGAAAAACAGCATCAATCTAACACCCTCTGTAGGTAAAACAAATACATTTTAAATCCTATATGTCCCTAGGCTGAACTATGTGCTGCCAGCTGCAGAGACAAATGACTCTAGTGAATGCAAAGTCAAAACCTGCCCAACTTTTATTTTCTTTTTAAGTGGGTTGTTTGTGCAGCATTCAACCACTGACATTTCAATTCCATTAGACCATTTAATTGTATCCAAACCTTTTGTGTATGTATTAGTATTTGATATAGAGCTGAATTAAAAAAAAAAAAGCTTTATTTTTCTCATATGTTAGTGTATTTGACTGTGGGTATTTACTTTATTTGACATAGACTCAATAAACAACCACTTTGCTTTCAGGAATGAAAACCTATCCAGGAGTAAAGGCAGACTCAGACCAGTCAGTCACTGCTGGATGGTCACTATATGACTAGATGTTATGCTTTTCAATGAGGATACAGTTATAAATTCAACATGATTCAGTATGCCAACACGAGCTTATCTCAGAGTATCTGCAGTCTCTGCCTTAAAGAATCCCTGTTTATTGTCTTGTCATAAAAGGTGAACCACTGTGCACTGCTTGTCTGGTGAAAACCATATGTTGTGGGCTGTGGCAGGTAATGGAGGGTAATGGAGATATGGGAGTGAGCTTGGGGTTAGGGCAAATGGTTAATCACACCCAGATGTGTTCCTGATGTGAGGCAGAGTCAGAATGTTTTCCTATGTAAATAAGGAGGAGATATCCCATATACCATCTTCATACTAACATTATCTCTGTACCAATCCACCAGAGCTGTTGGCAGCAGGAAGCTGCAGTAGAAACACAGATGTACATGTGTTTGCTGACAGAGTTTATCTGTGCCTGTGTGTACAGTATGTGATAACAGTTATCAGTTCTCTGTGTATGTTCCTTGATTCATATGAACATTCTCTAAAGCACAGTGGACCTTAGATCATCCTAAACTCCAAGCTCCAAAAATAGATCAGTGATCTCAGCCTTGTCATCGATCTGGGCAACGAGACAAAAACACCACATACTGTACTAATTAAGTGAACCCTCAGGATTACTGGGTCCATAGCATTTGCTTATGAACATGGTGCAGCTCCATGAGATTTAGGAGGCTCAGAAACATGACACTGGTTTGTGTAGTGAAAGTGAAGGCTAGTTGCATAGTATCGGACAGGTTTTTATTTTTTTGAGTCCATGGCCTCTGATGAAAAACTTTTGTGATCAGTAGCATTTAGAAAAACATCAACAACACTGTCATCTATCATGGTGTGTGTAGAATCATAGTAGCATATTATTTTTGCATTAGAGATAAAAAAAAAAGATTGTTTATCACACCAGAACAAGTACTACAGTAGATATAATAATAATGCCTTTTTAATTGTGTTTCAAAGCTGGAAAGGAATGCCTTTTGATGGTTGTTAGCTTGTGGGAATTGGAGAGATTTTGTTCCAAAACAAGAACACAGCTGAGAAAAATAAAACCTCAGTACTGGCTTGTCATTAGTACTGATGCTATGAGACATGAAAACAACCTATAAAGATTACAGCTTGTTGTATCTATTGAATATTACCTCCAGACTGTGACCAGCTCATCTTGGGTTAATGCTCTTTTGCTAAACTAGTTTTAAACAACCAATGTACCAGTACCCAGTGACCAATTAGACCAGACAACCACATACAGCATCTGATTCTGTGTATAACCAAGATAAGAGTCTACGCAAACCCACTGGACTTAGCATATCAAACATCTGCCTGAGTATTTGAACCAGTGAAGCTCTTACCAAACAGCAATAAGCTCTGAGCCCTGTAAGACATCAGTGGCCAACAGAAGCTTTACTAAACTTTGCTTCTGAGACACATCATCCATCAAGCTCCTGTTTCTCAGTGACTTTAAACTATTCTGTTGTTTCTAAATGTTAGTGAGATTAGACTTATATAAATTTACATAAATTGTCTCTTTTCATAGTTAAACAGCTTTATGTTTTTCTGCATAGCAGCAGTAATGTATTCATCTCAGTTTTGTAATGATACCATACCAGTAATACTATATTATCTAGTCTTGAGGAGCTGGAAAACAGATAAAAGAAATGCATTATGAAACCATAACTCAATTTCAGCCATATATTTTTAAGTTTTTCAATTTATTTAAACCTGTTTGACATTTCCTGATGGATTACCTTTTTTGCACAGTGCTGCAAAACACAACACTGCTATAGAGTAAAACTAATTTGCCTTTGGAGTTGCACCCGTCTTTCTACAATATTGCATTTTTACAGGTTCTGGTTTCTGGTTTTAAGGAGATACTTTTTATTCATCATCACAATTATGGGTATGCCACTGTAACATGCCACTTGCCACTGTAACAGTCTGTGTGGGGGTTCTTGCCTGATCCTGAATTTGTGTAGGCTGAAACTCTTTATCTCCCCTACAAACAGACTGGTACTCTGACAGTTTAGACAATCAGTTCAAATCAGAGTCTGACCTCTGACCAGTGGGTAAACAGAAGACGTTAACAGACCGTCCTCAGGACAGATAAGACAAAGCCGACTCACTAAAGGGTGAGTCAGTGAGGCTTTAGAAAAAAAGGAAATTTTAATGGCATGAATAGTTCGGATAGGTCATACAGAAGGCAACTCTTCCCAGCCATGAAGCCTTGAAGGGGTTACTTTACTAAGCATTCACACTTATCCAATGGATGGTTATCTGATTGACTAGAGGAAGCTGTTGCCTGCCCTTTCAGATTGTACTAATTAAAGGAGACCCCTGAGAGAAGCTCAGCTCAGTGTGGCCTCCACCCATCACCTCATTTTCTCTCTGATAAGAGGTGCTAACCACAAACATCTAGTGGAGAGAGAGAGAATACTATGAGACCTAAAGCATATGGTTAACTGCTGTGCTTGAATGTTTGAATGGACATATATGAAAAAAAAGCACCATGTGTACACTTATAAAGGCTCTCTCATCTCTCTGATCGTATGAACAGTGCTCTTTCTGGCCCCACAAACAATATAAAAAGTGACAGGATGTTTGCCTTGACTGGAGCAAGGTGACAACTAATTAATGACCACAAGGTTAGCCAGTGCACAGCAGCACAGGAAAGCCAGCCTCTCTTGTCCTGTCTCTGTAACTACTGCATCAGGTTTTCTTTGGCACTGGTTCATCAAAGACATGCTGAAAACACACACATTTAAGTGGACAACACTATGACGAATAGCTTTGTTCAGGGCTGATGATAACAAAAATACTGCGTAATACTGTAAAAACATACTGTAACAACACTTTGTTGATACCAAAACCCATGTGCTTCTGACAAAGTTTTACTGCAGTTTACTGAATTATACAAAATCACACATGGACTTCATACTTTATGTGAAGTAAAAATAGACTAGAGCTGCTGTAATGAAAACCAGATATCAAACATTTTAGTTTCCCAAACACAAGCACCTCCAAGCAAGCCTGCCAAACTAAAGATTCCATATGCATCAGCTGTGTGGAATTAAACATTTAGACTCTACAGAAAACAAAAAAGTTCATCCATTGTACAAGTACAGTGACAGAAAAGCAAAGTTTCACAGGGGTTTCTATGGTACAGTACATACACTGAAATAAACTCACCGGTCAGTGATGAGAAAAAACATCTCTCTGAAACAGCTCAGTCCACAGAGGAGGCTACAGGCAAACTACAAGTTTTAGTCTTGTTTTCCTCCAAGTTTTGAGAAAAAAACAAAAAAACAAAACAGCACTACAGGCAGTCCTGAATGCTTTAGTGGATTCCTTGTTGCTGCTGTACAACTGAGTCCTGGGGAGCTGTCTGTCTGAGTGTGTGTACAGTGTCTGGGGAAGAGGTGGTTGCTTCCTCTCAAAGCTGGAGACCGAGTGAGCAACAGAGTTTTCTCTCTCCCGGCTTCAGTCCACAAGAAGCAGGAAAAGCTGTCATACTATCCGCCTTTACAGACAGAAAAAAAGAGGAACAGCCTTAAAAGGGCAAAGTTGGAAAGAGGGGAGGGAGGAAAGCAGTGGCTGTGTGTGTGTGTGTGTTTTCCAGCTTAAGTTTTCCATGCATGGTTCAGTGTGACGACTGAAAATAACAAAATACCATCATAACAACACTGTGCATGTATATATCTGATAAACAGCTTTGCACATTTTAGCCAAATAAATAAATAAACATCTCAAATGAGCACAAGGGAGTTTCTTTGCAAGTCTTAAAGGAAAAGTTTTGGAAACATATGTATTGACTTTCATACCAAGAGTTACAATATATGATAAGATTGATAACATTCTCACATATGCATGTTAAAGCTACCATGAGCAGCAGATTACGTTAGCTTAAAGGCTAAAAGTGTGGCTAAACAGTCAGCCTCTTCCCAAATCCACCTACCACTACCTCTCAAGCCCACTAATTAACATTATGTATGTTATTTGTTTAATTTGTACAAAAACCGATGTATAAAATGAACAGTTTACCTGGCTACAACTGTGTGCTGACAGAGTGTCTCAAGAACATTTACTAGAATGTCTGAAGTTGCAGATTAGCTTTTATATGTCTGGTTAGCGGGCTTATTTTGCCATGATGCGATAATCATCAAAGTTTTATGTAATTCAGAAATGTTACAAACACTTACAACTTATTAGTAGAGTCACGTTTCTCAGAGAGCTACGGTGTGCAGCTTTAATGCGAAGCCTAAATAATTTTGGCAAAAACAACCTCACACAAAATCACAGTCACGATAATATGTCAACTCTCAAGCTGAAGGAGCTGACAAGCTAATTGCTAACAGATGTTGAACTACATGAAAAAACTTTTCATATCACTAAATGAGATTGCATTACACATAAAACTAAGGCAGCCCTGACAATACATTTTTTTTCACATCTGAATGTTGCATATGTGCATACCATTTCAAAGCACACATTCTGAACCTTCATATTTTGCTACCAACATTTTCACAGTTGTAACAGTTGTTTACCATGTCAATGAGTGCAGCTGTAAATCTCTGTAGCCACCAAGATTTGTCTTGACCAACATTTATTAAAGCCATATGCTCAGGAGGGCATAGTGACATTTATCATTAGCCGTGGTACTACTCTGCATGGGAAATAGGGAAGAAGAGATGAGAGCAATAAATTCAAGAGCTCATTTAATCTTCCAGATGGTTAATGTTAGAGCAGAGCTGCTATTGTGCTAAACCCTACTGGGGCTTGAAAGAACATCTTGGTCTTGAGTCCACCCACTCATTGCTTCCCATCTTGAGCAGCTTGCCTATGAATGGCTATAAAACCTTGTGACAGACTTACTTGCAGTTTAAATTGCATTACATATTGCACCAAATGGGATTTCAGGCTCATCACTCTAAATCAATCATCCCCCTGCTGCCTGTTCCTCAAATTTCTGCTTTACCCTATCTGCTCATGAAAGATCTGGCAGAAGATATCTCTACAATATCCTGCCCTGTCTACTCCATCAGTTAAGAGAAGGTATAGGTGCTGACGCAGTGGTTTTGGGAAAAGCATAGTCCCTTCAGTGCCAGGATTTAAAATGCTCTTTGAGCTGCATCAGTGATCCCATTCCTGTCTGGATCTCCTCATGACTGGGGCTGATTTATACTCCAGCACTGGGCTGGTCTGAGGAGGGTAGAGAGGTTAGGAACAATGAAGAGCAACACAGAGACGCAAAAAGAAAGAAAATGGGAAGGTAGAAAAAGCAAGCTAAGGGAGAAAAGGTGATCATGGAGCTTGGGGGAGGAATGAAACAGGGCATCTATGGCTGTCAAGGAGGCAGACCTTTCCTGGATCATGTCAGACAAACCCAAGCATGCCTTTATGGGGTTTGGTATAAATACAGAGTATATCATTGTAAGCTGTTAAAGAGGCAGAAACAGGGAGGGATATGTGACTGCTGACCACCAGGGAGGGTCTGTCTGCAGGTGGGAAAAGATGAAACAACAGTGAAGGTGTGTGTATGAGACGGAGGGGGGCTGGGGAGACTTAAACAAGATAGCACTTGTTTGCCAAGCTCACTGCCAAGGTGAAGCCAGGCAACATGCTCCAGACAGGTTTCATAGGAACAAAAGATAACTAGCGTCTTTAAGCTACATTAATATTTGCGGTGCGTATAATGACAGAGTCATCTCTCCCACTCAGTTTGCAAAGGCTGCCACACAGAGCCTTTGTTAATGGTCTGCACCATAAGGAGGCTGTGTGAATGAACAGTGCACAGAAACCTCTAGGTTGGGTTTGGCAGCCATACAAGCCACAAAGCAAAGAAAGACTAAGAATACTTAAGTTGTTTGCTTTGCAGACAACCTCAACATTCTCAAAGAGCAAACACAGCACAGGTCATTTATAGAAAAGCAGTGATTTTTTAAGGAAAGAATAATCTTATAATTGACATGCAAGAATAATAATTAAAGTTTTATCTTACTTCTACAAAATAACCACTCACAGATGACTCATTTGTACTATGCACAATGAAATAAATATCTTGGGAGGGTGTACTGAGGGAATTAGAATGATTCTTTCTTAATCTAAAAACATGTTGCTAAGAACATCAAATGATGAAATGATGAAAAAAAATGTCCAGAGATCAACACAGACAACAGAACAAGTGAAGAAAAAAGACAGTTTTTGTTATTTTGATGTAAGTTATCATTAGGCTTGTCAAGGTACAAACCCTTTGGCATTCACAAACTGCTCATTAAAATGTCTATGTAGATAGGTCTAGTCAAAGGCTGCGCCTTCAAGTTGTCTCTGCACCCTCTGTCCAGTGTCCAAAAACATGTCTCTGCCTTTCTACCTAGTGCCCAGCAAAAAAAAAAAAAAAAAAAACTCACTGGAGGCATTTGCCAGCCCTAGCTTCTTTATGGGACAGATGGGATCTAAGAGTGGGGAGCTCCTGTGCACAGGACTTGTTTTGTGAACATAAGTCTGAGCTCTTTACTGCTGTGATTTTCCACTCCATCTGCATGCATACATAATAAATCACATGCACATTTATATATAGAGATGTACAAGCACATACTGTACACACTGAGTTAGTGTGATCCTTGCTACAATGCAGCTTAGAGTTCACCTACATGACAAAATGAGCACACACACATTCTCTTACTTCCCCACTGTCATATGAAGCTGTGCAGATAGAGGTTTTGGTCTCTGAGCATTCTGCTATCGCCCCTATAGGGATGGATGGATTACTGGTCTACTGGGCACAGGCCCAGGGGCTCAAGGGTTTAGGAGGCCCCATCATATCACTGTGCGAAAATTCATCCTTGTGAAATATTTGAATCTTGAGATGTAGGGAGAACTTCACAAGAAAATGCTTGTAGCTTTGCTTCTTCCCATAACTGAATCAACACACTGGAATACATCACTGAAATTGCAGTGAAAATGTTTTATTTTCATGGCTGGTGTGATCAAGCCTTTACTGTGGATTATCCAGTTTTCAGTTTTTGGAACAGTTTTCACTGTAACTACTATAACCATATAAGAAAAAAAAATCCCTAAATGATGACAGTGTGTTTTGCAGATTGTTTATGTTCATTTTTAAAATATTGTAAAATACATTATAAAGTATACTGCACAATATCTAATTTGGAAACATGTCAAGAAAAGGGCGGACTACCTCACTTCCAGAACACCCAGCCAGTGTTAAGCAGAGTGGAGACTGAGGGAGAGGTCTGTTTGGTATTAGGCGGGAAGACTGGGACAGGAAATGTTCCAGGGTTGCATGGAGGCAGTCCATCTACAGAGCAGGCAGTGGCCCACCACCATGAGGGCTAGAATAACGTCCTTCTGTTTACCCTCACCCCTCTCTCCGTCACTCCGCATAGAGGGTTTGACTGAGATTAAACGAGTGGAGTAGTAACGGAGGAACTGTAGAACTCGAGGAAAAGCTGAGTACTGAGATTACATAAACATCTCAACACATTGGCAACTGAATGTGTCTTTCCCACGTCCTAAGTTACATAGTTTCCCTACTTCCTCTCCAATTCTTCCAGTGTTTTTCTCATTCATTACACTGAGTTGCCAAAAGCCATTAGGGTCCAAGGCAGCTGAACTACTCACATTCCTCCAGTTCAGTTTGTCATAATAATGATCCTGGTTTCAAGTTAGGTGCTGTTAAATTAAATCAAAATAATGAGGTTTCAGTTATTTCAAATGGCAAAAGCATTCCTTGCTAAATAAGATACAGTGTCAGGTTTTCATTGTTATGGAAGAGTGTTGCAAAGCAAAGAAGCTGAATGTTTTCTAAAAGTCTGATTTCATGGAGTTGCATGTAAAGCCAAGGAGGAAGAGGAGGAACAGAATTATTTTTCTAACACCACCGGTTCAGTTCACAACTGCTAAATATCAAAAACAAGTTTATCGACTTCAGCTTTTGTTTTTACATTAAGCAGTGATGCAGTGTAGGTTCTTCTTAGTCTTCTTGTTAATGTAAATGCAACTTAAAAACATTACATACAATGAGTGCATAAAGTATGTTGATGTAAAAGAGGACTGGGATTATTGTTTCTACTGCTAAAACTGAACAACAATACAAAGACTGTACAGGAGGCCACAGCTGAAGAGGCTCTTTTACAAACCTGTCATATATAAGAAAAGCTCTTGGTGTGCAAGTATGTACTATGTGGAAACTATATGACTGAACAACTTCCTCCAACAGCCTTGACATGTTGAATATAGAGAATATAATGATAAAGCCCTGCAGTGGATTGCTCTATAAACTCTGATTAGATCTCAGTCAGACCCATTCCTACAGCTCAGAGAATGTCAGGGGAGGGAAAACCAGTCAGCTACAGTTTGAGATCATGAATAATTATTTCCACTTTTGTCCACTTCTCTCAGCAGCACCACTCCCGGCAACACTAAAAATCCCCATTTGCTTACACATGAAGCATAATGATGGGCTTTCTTTTACATGGAACTGTAAAA